GACCTGCCTAAAGTGCATGTTTACTTCACCTTTTATAATGACAAAAATAATATTTAAAGACACGTCTATACAAATGATGAATGTATTAAAATTACAACCGCTAGAAAATTAAAATTTTTATATCACCGTATTTTTTATTTAAAATGTATTCTTTTCTCTCGCTTCGTCCGCCATTAAAAAGATCTCTGGTTGGGCCACAATGCATTATGGGATATGCTGGGCCGGGAAGGATCCATCAGACCAGTCCTTCGATTCGGGCCAAAGGAAGGACGCATTTGTCAGCCGCATCGGAAGAGTCTGGTTTTGGACGGCCTTCATTAGAGCCAAACATATGTCAACGGCGTGATGTCTAATTTTGCCGCACCGCCATGACCACGCCTTTCCCCAAAAAGTCTTTGTGCTTGAAAGCAAGTGAGAACAAATTCTTATCTGTGACAATTTATTGCGAAGARGGTCAGAGCTTTCCAAGCCAATCCATGCTGGTTAAAGCTCTATCATGYAAAAATGAATCCATACGTGAACACCATCCAGAAACACTATAAAATCTGATAAATCTGAATTTGAAATTATTTTTGTAAACCRCAGACACCACCTTCTTCATGTTAAAGAGAATGACCWTCCAGCCTGTTATCAGTGCAGTTCAAACTTCTGCATCTCTGATTTTATGGGGGTGCACTGTGCCTATGACAGCGGCAGCTTACAAATAACGAGGGGCACCATCAATACAGAAATGTATTTTAAAACAGCGTGTGCTCCTGTTTAGATGGAGTCTGTTTCAATGAAGGTTTTGTATTYCAGAAAGAGAATGCTGAACTGCATATTTTACAACATGACTTCTTAGCAGAAGAGTCCAGGTGCTGAACTGGTTCAACAATGGATAAGTTGCTACCATAAAATGTATATTTTTCCCCAACAAAAGGTACATTTGTTTATATTTTTACTATTTTTCATTTTGAAATATGACTTATGAAATTTGCAAACCAACATGCAGTTTACAGCCAAATTTTTCCTCATTAAATTTGAATTTCAAATACCTAAACTGGCCCAAACCTGCATATATTTTCCCTCTGGTCACAATGCTGTTTGCTTTTGTGATCAAATTTATTTGCATATATGTAGGAAGGCAAAACTGTCTGCGTGGGGCACCAGAATATTAAAACAGAGCTTTGAAAATAGAGCCAGAGTTTTTGTTTTATTTCCCACAACAGTAGCCTTACTAAAAAACCTCTCATCCAGAAAGGGAAGTGAAACAGTGGACGACCGAGAGGCATTTCCTCCAGTCCTGCTTTGCGGTGACTTGCTGTCATCAGCGTCTTTTACTGTCATTGTCGCTATGGGCAACAGTTGAGACATCACTGGGAAAACACAGGGCATGTCCTGTTTTTTAATACTTCATCAACCAGAGTTATTTCATTTTGTGTACATGCTTGTTGGTAGAATAAACACACTTTCAGTATAAAAAACAAACAAAAATGTAAGTGAGTTTCTGGATTTTTTTAATCTTTTATTTTCTGTGGCATGGATTTCTCAAACATGACGTAACATTTTTTTTTTTTTTACATCTGTGATGTATATTTCTGATTTATTCAGGTAACTTATTTTTGCTGCTGTGGTTGTATTTTCCTGCACTCTGAATGCAGCATTTATTATTATTATTATTTTAAATAAAATCTTATCCCACATTTTGACCTGCTCTAGTTTGTAAATTAACCTACAGGGCATTTACCTTTTTATAAAATTTGACCTATACAGCTGTCAGATGCTTTCAAAGGGAAATTTATTTCAGAAACCAAAAATGTTACAACCTAAATGGTACACAGTTTTGGTGGAATGCCTTGAAAACTACCACAAATAAAGGCTTTATATTCCCGCTGAAATAAAAAAAATGAGTGCCACACTGACATAAGGAAGCAGAAGCTAAAGTAACCGACATTACCACATTRTGTATTATGAATCAAATGTGACTTTTTCATCCATTTCTAAAAATAAAAGGTTAGAAAATGACAYGAGAGGTGAAAGCAGGTTTAGTGTCAGGTGGCAAAAACTGCATCCTAATAATCTCAGTARCCTGTTATATAATATTTACTGTCTGTGTGCATAGGTTAATCACACAATTGTTTTCCTTTTTTTTTTGTATAATTGTATTCAAACTACTACTTCATTCTTTGTGCTATTTTAGCAYATATTAGCCTACATACATACATTCAGTCTTTTTTAGGAAACGGGTGCTGATTTTCAGTTTTTGTAACTTTTACACTTTTTAAAATATTCAGCTGTCTTTCCAAAGATTTTCATCAAATAATTTAAGTTCTCTTCGAATCTTAAAAAGAAAATGTGCTTATTTTTGTCCTTTGAAGTTAATTTAATGTTTAGCTGCTATCCTGCTGCTTTAGTTTTAGCTAACATTCTGCTACTTTAAGCTAGCCTTCTGCTACTTATACCTACCACTCTGCTACTTTAGCTTTTAGCAGGTCTATTACTAGTCTTTTGTGATGTTCTATATTTTTTTAGCTTTTAAATAACAACTTTTTTAGCTACTTTTTTGCTATTGGCTGATGTTTTCCTACTTCCAGCTGTTTTGTGTAATTTGGCTTTAAGCTGTCATTTTGTTTTTTTCTTATTTTATTTGGTGGTTTATTCCTTTCGGCTAGTGTTCTACTTTTAGCTATTTGCTTCTTCAGCTTTAACAATTTAGTTTTAGCTTCTTTTGTAATGTCATCAGTCAATATTCCTCTAGACATGTAGGAAGGAGTCATGTGGGGAACRACTGGCTCAATTAGTGTTTTTGTTTATTATCATTTTAACAAATTATTTACAAAAAAATTAAAATAAGTGTTTTGAGTGTTGAATTTCCTTTAATGAACATGCCTGCACATATGCATTTGTTTCTATTTTGTTCATTGGCCCGGATTGAGGGGGAAAAAAACATTTTTTTTTTCTAAACATTAGAAGAAAGTTGAGAACCACTGCTCTCGTTTTCAGGTTTTTTATTCACCTTTAAACTTGATTAATTTTTACATGGTTTTAGGTAAATGTCTCCTTGTGAAAGCCTGTTGGCTCAGAACTAACAACATCACTAAAATAAATACTTTACAAAACTTAAAACTACACAGAAGTATTGTCAATTCATCCCACTTCTACCACGTTGCTATCGTGGTTGCTACGGACCCGACGCGGCGGAAGTAGAATCACAGCAAACAGGAAGCAGCTTTCAGCCAATCAGCTTTTGCAAAGCGTCCTAAGCTGACGTCAGCCCGGTACAGATGAACAACCGGTAGCATTGAAAGGAAAAAAGCTTCACAGCAGACCTTTGTTTTCCTTTTGTTCTTTTATTAAACATTTAAACACCATGCCTTTCGATGTCAGGAGGTGAGTACAGAGCTTCCGGTCCGTTTGGGTTTTAGATATCTGAGGGAACGGTGGTCGCAGTTTGTGAGAGTCCTGGCTGGAGTGCATGAATGGTTGGACACAGCTGCACCACATTTATAAAAGCCGTTTTAAAATTGTTTAGTCTGTTTCATTCCCATAAATAATAAACTACCGCTGTCTCCAGTGTTTATGCTGCAACAGTTTTTAGCGTGGGGTTCTTGTCTGCGCATGTGCAGATGTCTTCACTCAGGCTAATTACAAGATTTCAACAACTCTCTGAAGGAGTTTGAAACCATCACAGACAACACAGTGTCTGGGTGTTACCTCCCGAAAGACAAGTGGCTGAACATGTCAACAAGATTTACTCTGTTGATTTCCTAACACAAATAAAAAGGCAAAAACTGCATCATACTTGGACAACAATAGTAACACTTCACTGTGAATGGGCTGTTAGACTTGTCAATAGAACACACCCATATCATATTAACTACAGGGTATTTACAATCAGCCTCCCTTTGCAAACTCAGTAATGAATACTGGGTGGTAACGCTTATTGGTACACCACAGGATAAACCAGTCCATGCAAATCATAACATCAAAGTGGGACTTATTACTTCAGTTTAATTTACACGTATACATATAAGAAAATAATTAAGGAAGTCTTTATA